AATTTCAATAAATAAATTAATTAGATTTATGTTGTAATTTATTTTAACGACAAAAGCATATATATATATTGATCTAAACAAAAATATTAATATTAATTATATATATATAGGTATATTATATTTAAGTTATATTTTAAAAATGCACTTAGTTAATATTTAAGACTGAATGAAAAATATATATATTAGATGCATTTAAAATTTTGCTAAAATTTATCATTCACTGCTTTTATTGAAATTAAAATTTATTCATACTCATCTTTAACTACTGTCGTGCCTTCAGTTATGCTTTGAGTTGGGTTTTTCTTACGTTCATTATTGTTTTTCTCGGTACTTTTAGGCATTTTTTCGTTCCTATATACATTTTATAGGTAAATTGGTATGTTATTTAAAGTTTAATATAATTTAAATCATAATAATCTAACTTATTTTTACTTCTACCATCACGTTTTCGAATTCAGTATGTAATAGATAAACCTATTAATTTTTCTAGTATCATAGAATATAATATATAATTTAAAATTAAATATCCGCAATTTATATGCAAGGAAATAATTCTATTGATAATTAAATGAAAAAAATTAAAAGTTTCTTTTCCGAAGAAAAAAAAATTAATATCTATTTATACCTTTTTTGTTGGGTTTAAATATTCTTTTCGAAAAACACGGTCCAAAAAGCAAAACATTTTTAAATACAAAAACGAAGAATTAAAAAATTATTGAATGAAAATTATAATTATGCAATTATTATATAATATTGACTAAAAACGTACATTTTTATATTTTTTTCTTGTTTTCAAGTTTTGTATGTATATAATATATATTACAAAATTATACGTGAAAAGACTTAGGATATTAAGTTCACCGTTTACAAATGATGAACTGTTATAACATAATGAACTAATGAACAAATAAATAATGATTTACTTTTTTGTCTGTTTGATCTTGTTTGATATATTCATTTGAGTATTCATTCTTTAAAAATTAAAAATTGGTTACTCTGAAGCTGAAAAAAAGAATTACACCATAACAAGACCATTAACCTTTTTTTTTTTTTTTACTGAATTTAATACATTTCAATTATTATTCTTTTGCATTAATAATAAATGGAGTCCCAAAAATATATATAGGTTTGATTCAGGATATATAAGAATATTCGAGAACTAGTGTGAAGATTTTGTGTGGAGTAACAGAAAATTTTAACGTTGGAGTGGGTGTGAATCAGGGGACGACTCTAATCTCTTATTTGTTCTCTGTGGTAATGATTGAAATTACGAGAGATATACAGAGCGAGTTACCATGGTGTATGGATGTTTGCTGATGATATAGTTTTGGTAAGAGGAAATCTGAAAAAAGTTAATTATAGGTTGGATAATTGGAGGTCAAAAAGAAAAGGATTGAAAATTAATAGAAATAAAACAGAGTATATACAGTATGATTTTGGAGGAAGTTGAGGATATGAGGAGGCCAATAACAATAAGTGGTAATGTGATAGGTGAAGTCGAGATCTTTAAATATTCTTTAAATATATTGATCATTTGTACAATAGGGTGGAGGTTTTGGCATGAAGATAAAACATAAGATTAAGTGCGGTTGGATGAAATGGAGTGAAACGTCGGGCATTTTATGCAATAAGAGAATTCCAATAAAGCTGAAAGGTAAAATAATGTAGTAGAGTGAGACCAATTATACTATATGATCCAGAGTATTGAGTGGTTGATAGGATAATATAATAGAGTATGAGTTTTACGGAAATGAGAATGCTTAGATGGATAAGTGAAGTGACAAGAGAAGATGGAATAAGGTGATAGAATAAGGAACTAATATGTAAGAGGTAAAATTAGTGTAGTGTCTATAATGGACAAGAACAGAAAAAATAGACTGAGATGTTTTGGGCATGTGATAAGACGAGAGGAAACCAATGCAGTAAGAATTGTTATGAAAATTAATGTTGAAGGGAAAAGAGAAAGAGGAAAAACAAAAAAAGATGATTAGATACGATTAAGAATGGTATTAAGGCCTTTGGTATGTGCGTAAGAGATTGGAGGTTTAGAAATTCTAGGACATTCAATTTAAGCGATTAGATGTGATTATGAAGCAAGACTAAGTACGCTGGACCTAAATGTACTCCGTTGTGCACGCGCTTCTACAGATATTTAATACGTACGTGATAGAATGCCGCTGCCGGTCCTATACTCCTCGCGAAAATACTTCGAAGATTCGAAATGTTCAGATTGAATATATTCGCTTTCCAGGTAGATATCCACACAAAAATTCGAAAATGTTTCAAAATATTTGAAATATTATTCCGTTCAAACTTTGATTCACACTTCACTGGTAGCTAGGTTCAAATATGGTTTTCAAATCGGTTAAATTGACTAAATATATGTGCATCCAAGATACAACGTAGATACGTGTAATATATTTATTTAGAATTTTTTATAAATACATCCGATATCCGATAGCAAAAATCGATGATAAAATACATTGATTTTATACCGGCAAAAATACAATATATGTGCACATAATATTATTATGCTTGTTGCCATATCTTATCGGTCATTTTGGAATCAAGTTGGAATGGGAGAACCGTCTACGTAACGTACCAATACACGTTAACGACAGTTTGTCAATTAACATCGACCATTGTTGACTTAATTCTTAATATATTACGTTATTACTAGGGCTCGGATCCAACTTCTGGTGGTGTAGAGACGTATTCTCAACTTATAATTTGCAACACACCAATTTTCCAATTTCCTAAGTAAAATCCTTTCCAATAAACTAAATATTTACCCATATATTTTTTTAAATAACAAATAAATTTTTAATTATTTTAGCAGTAAAACCTTTATTAATATAACATCAATAAAAAAAAAACAATCAAAATTTTTTTCTTAGTATGCTGATTTCCTTGGCTCTTGAAAATAGTATTATAGGTATACAAATTTAAATAATTTTCTGGTGGTGCAAAAACATATCTTTGCACCATCATATTTTAGATGTGGTGTTGCAAATGCCACATTTGCACCGCCCAGTTTACGCCACTGAGCTCGGAAGTTGTAAGAGCTAAAAAAGGTAAAATATGCACGACAAAATTGCAAAATATGCATTAGAAATGTTAAATATATAAAAAAAAAAAATATTTTGAATTTCGAAAATAAAATAAATCAGATGTTATTAATAAATTAATAATATACATAAAAATATTTATAAATAAAAAAAAATTATAACTGGTTAGCATTTTGACATCTTATTGAGCTGAAAATAAAATTAAAAAATATTTTTTCAGTATTTTTTAAATGACAAAAAAAAATATATGTTTTCTAATACCTGTTAAGTTATTGCATTGAATCACCAATATTTTCTTAAGATTTTCTATTTGAAATGAACAACGATTATTCGATAGAAGACAACTATGTCGATGACAATAAGTACCTTCGTTGATAATTTTGAGTTTTATTTTCAATATTAGTTGAAATATACAGATTAAGAAAGAAAAAAAAATCAATTTTTTTTTAGAAAAATATGAAATATGTTTAATATGGATAAAAAATCAATGAAATATGCACTTTTTAGCTAAAATTGGCCAAATATGCAAAATATGCATTTTCAATTTTCAATTTTCTAACTCAAACTTCAAAACAAAAACAACAAAACTTCAAATTTCTAGCTAGGTTTACTATAAATTGAGATCATATAGAACAATATGTAATTCTTACAACTTCTGAGCCCTAGTTATTATTTACTTCACTTTAATTTTTTTTTTTTTTTTATATATATATATATATGATTATGGACGAGAAAAAAAGAACAGTTGAATTTGAAAATAGATAGTTTTTGCCTGAGTTTACAGAATTATATTTTTTTTATTTACCGTACCGCTCAGGGACCTTGTCAGTTAGTTTGATTTACCTCTAGATGTGGCTGTTTTTTAATGTTTTCAATATTAAACGTTATTATGAGACTTAATATATATAATTTGACAAGATTATTTTTGCATTTTAATATGTTTAACATATTTGCTTTGAATTTTGATGGCCCCTGAACATTTTCAAAATTCCCAATATGACTCTACTAAAATATAAATTGGTGACCCCTGATATAGACTATAATGAGATAATGATATGTGTTACTTTTAAATCATAATTTAGTCTCGTTTTTAATAATTTCTTAGTCTATCTTGTGCTGAGCGTTGACACGAAATTATCACCTGTTTAATATTATGTATATTTTTGTTATTTTTTAATCGTTTTTCGAACGATTAGATATTACATAATTATAACTTATTAATCATTACTAGTGATTTATGTATATCCTTTTATTGAGCAAACTTGTAATGGAGATAGGATAATGAAGTATAAATGTATTTATCAATAATTAAAATTTTAAAATTTACATGATTCCAATACATTTTGAGACTGAGAAAAATAATAAATAATAGGAAATACCAAAACAATTGAAATGTACACTTTTTCAACTTAAACAGAAGGCAAAAATATTCAAAGAGGTATTCATATTAATAATTTCAATTATTATTCTAAGCTTAAAATTATTTTTAATATACATAACGCATTGATTATCCGAGTTATAAGATTTACATTATACCACATTCTCGTATATTGATTACGTCCATTCAAAGGCGGTTTTTTTGTAATACACTTTTTTTGAAGTTGTCAACCAAATCGAACGTGTCTACAATTTTGGCGGCAAAATGTACTACGGGTAGTGATGTGACTTTAGCGACGGCGACACGGTAACCATCGGACACACATGAATCAGTACCTCGTGTACTGATATTATATCGGGATAACAAAAGTCGTACAAAACGCCAGGACAAATTGAAAATCGAGACCGCTGCTCGTTACCGTCGCATGTGTCCGGCCGCACGTACCTGTTTGAATTCCTCGCGGCAGACGCGTTATGATATGCGACCATAGAGAGGGAATACAGTTAGAGGAATTGAATAATAACCGCTAACTAATGACCAACTGCTGGCTGGAAACGTGTTTGCATTTAGTCGTGACTGGGTCAACTTACAAGGTACGCGCGTACTCCAAGTGTGGTTCAAGTGTAATTTTCGATTTTTACTTCGGCCGATTAAACCAAATACCATACCAACCAGCATACGAAATAATATACGTTTAGCAATTTCGTTTCACGTTTTTGCTCGTATTTCTACACGTTTATAATTAACAGGTGAGTGCACAGAGAATTTTTAATTTTTAATTTTTCTTAATTATTATGTTTTAATCTCAAGGCAATGGAAATGTAACGTTTCGCTACGTTTCGTAAACGTACGTACGGTTAAATTGAAAAAAGTTAATTAAATGTTTATGCGTGGTTTAAATAATTATGTATATTTATATAAGTATGTATGTATGTATGTATTGCACGATTTGTCTAAGTCGTTTTCGATCTTTGGATTTTCATTGATGGATCACTGGTAAAGCATGAACCGTGCTGTTAATTTAACATTTGAAACGATCAATTATTCAATTTTCATTAAACACGTGTAATCTTTCAAATAATTAATCATTCACAAATAGAAATATAGCATTCTCTAATCCAGCGATTCCCAAAGTGTGTTCTGCGGAACCTAAGGGTTCCGTGGGACAATCTTGAGGGTTCAACGTGATGTACCTGAATATTGAGAATAGTAATTGTAGTTAACAATAATCATAAACTATCTTTAAAACATTTTTTAGATTATTGGTTTTTCGACAATAAAAATAAACGTGAAAACAAATAATTATAGATTTTGTATTAACTTGAAGCTAGAGACGTTGGGGTTCCACGAAACAAAAAATATTTGTTAGGGTTCCGTGATCATAAAAGTTTGGGAACCGCTGCTCTAATCTATAAATCTAAAGTTTATAGATGCATGTGTTCGATTAAATACAATTAAAAAAGTAAAATATATACAAATTAAACTCGCCAAATTAAATATTTATTCTGTTAAAAAAAAATACAATTATTGTCAAATAGTATTTATATTAACTAATACGACATTTACTCATTTGTCATAGTGGTGAGTTGGTTGGAATTCCAATTGTTTTTTATTATCTAAGTATGATATATATTTTTCGTTGTGGTGAGTTGGTTGAGATATCGGCTTATTCACGTAAACACAATTCAGTTTAAATACTGAGAAGACAAATTACCATTTTTATTCTCTCAGAATAAGTTGTACACGTATAAACGCCTATTACTTTTCTAAATAAAATCAGAATCACTCTACGCTGATGATATTTCCTGAATGATGCATTTCGAAAGGGTTAAAAAAACAATAGATGTAATACACAATGTAATATTTTCGAATAAAATGTATTCAACAGATTATTGCAGTATAATCAATAATACAATAATCAAATAATACTGGTTAATTTTCACTGTGTATTTTGCGACAGCAAATGTACGTAAGTAAGCAAAGATTTCAAATCGATAAAACGAAAATAGTAGGTAAGTATACACGCATGTCGTTTTAATATACTAGAAAACATAAATAGCCATTGAATTTATTAAAGAAAAGAAAAAAAACAATAGATTCACTTATAATTTAAATTATTGTCATCAATTGTACTCAGTGAAATACACCTTTTGTTAAAGTGAAAATTAAACGATACATAAATATGAAATCGAAACGAGAATAATGTTTGGAGCGTAAAAGGATAAATCAATAAAACAAAACATAGATATGATAGTAAATTTTCGGAAACCAAATAATATCGTTAATTAATATTCAGATGAGAAGGACCTTGATTGAAAAAAGTAATTTAAAAGTACATTTCGAATAAGTAATATTGTGTATATACTTGTTGGTCGAATGAACTTTTTTATATAATCCACTTGGCAATAACTAAAATATACTAATAACATAGGTACATGATAAGAATTATGACATTTGAATCAATAATAACTATTTACAGCTAGTCACTAGTGTTCGTGCTTCGTTTAATAGTAATAATATTTATTTGTGTACAACTTATAACCATTTTACACAGTTAGGTAATATTGATATAAGATGAATTTTATCGCCCAGATTTAATATTAATTTGGAAAATATTACTTTACTTCTAGAGAATGATAAAATATTATAATAATATCGTATCATAATAAAATATACGCCATATACGTAATACATAAATGAATCACTTATTATAGAAACCTCGTAAGAGACAGAAATTTCGAAACATATTATTTTTCACTTGCTTGTATCATTTAGTAGACACATCGATAGTTAATAAATAATTTAATTATCTACCCATACATTTATTCATTGTTTAAGTGTTTCCAAACCGGACGCAGGTTTGCTTAACGTAATCATCGTACATATTTTTATCGTTCGATATTCGAAATTCGCGATAAAAGTCCTGTGTAAAATACTAAAGTAAAAAAAAAAAATTCGTCCGTTACGTTTACGTACATCATAGAATATGCGATTCGATTGTCTCCCCCCGCCGCCGTGACACTATTTCGAATAAATATGCTTTTCATGTACTCACAATTATTATCATCACGCGAATCGAATAACATCGCGCGCGCCGTAGGTCTAAACAGTTGTCACATGTTTTACCGTTACCGAATAAGAATCACACATTTATTGTTTTCCCGTGAAATCCATTTGTAAATAACGAATCGTTTCCGATACTAATAATAATTATTTGACATTGAAAAATAATTCAAAAGACATTCGTTATATTGACGTTAGCGTTGATAATATCAATACATACCTATGTGTGTGTGTATGTCACGTATGTGCCTACACATTTGTACTTATGCCTACAGATGGACATGTTGCGAAAATTTTATAAAAACCTCGATCATTATAAAAAGTACGTGGAGTATAAGATAAAAATGTGCCATTGTTAAGAAAAAATAACCGACCAGTACCTGTATAGGTATTTATCACTAAAGTAATTTTTATGTATTCCGTTCGATTGAAATAATTAAGGATTCGTCAATGTAAATCTTACACCTTGAATAGCATTACCAGATATTAAGAATTAATGTTTTCGAGCTTATAGAATTCAATATAGAATAGAGTCAATAACTTGCGAATTTATTTTTATTTTATTTTTTAACTTGTTTGTGTACTTTTTTTTTTTTAAATGTTTTTCTTTTAATTCAATAAACGTATTATTATTATTATTATAGTGGAACTTCGTTATCTTGAACTCCGATATCTCGAAAATTCTGGATATTGATTTTTTTTTTTTTTTTAAATCTCAATCACTCAGTATTGAACTTATGTTTTAAGTTATTTCAGTACATCGAATTTCCATATGTCGAATTTTTCTATAAATCGAAGTCATTATCCGGTACCCACCGCCTATTACAATTCACTAACTCGAATAGAAAACAAATTAAATATAAAATGCTCACACTATAAAATATAAATAAATTATAATTCTGTATAATAACCGATAATGGAGGTTTAAGTTTTACAGACTTATATTCATGAACTTCAAAGATATGTCTAATAACAGTCAAGAGTTCCTGACGATATTTTTTTACACTTAATAGTTTTCTATTTGTAGTTTTATTGAAAATACTTTTAATACTAAACAAAAACAAACAAAATTGAAAGATTTTCTACTTCCGTAGAATTACCCAATTTACGAATACTAATACTATGTACATATAATAAATATACATTTTCCCTCATAATTAAACATTTTTATTTCAAATTTTATTTATGTTTTAAATTCCCTCGGTAACTCGAAGTTTCAATAAGTCGAATTTTTTTTTGTCTCTTGCGACTTCGAAATACCGAGGTTTTACTGTATTATTAAATTTTCTACGATCGTTACCGACCGGTTAGAAATAATCGAGAAGAATTAAAAAAGAAACTTAATAATAATCATTGTATACTTTGGCGGGATCAACGCGATAATTGGCTTTTTAACACATGTCGCGAGACTGACCATTGTTCAACATAGTGTTTTTGATTAATGAACGTTTTTTCTTTCTTTTTTTTACGTATGGCCGTAATACAATCGTTCGGATGAAAACTAATACATCGATATTGAAAACAAGAGTCCAAAACTACGGGGGTGCCGAAGAAAATATCGTATTATTATTATTATTATTATAATTGTACACATAATGAAGCGCAAGTGTACACTTTAGTTTCGAGTATAATAACTATACTGTTAGAATGTCAAGGACACGCACTGGGAATCTAGTTTAACAGAAAATACTAGTTTTTTTTTTTTGTTCCGTTAGATTTTTATCTCATAATATAATGAATGATTCACTGACTGTACTCAAATAAATATTATTATTATTGAAGACTGCTACATACAATATTTATAAACTATTATTCGTAAAAAGTTTTATTTATTATCTGTGTATAATCATTCCTGTAAGGATGAAAACAAAAAAATATAATAACCTACAGTGTTTTATATAAAATCAAATGATGATCCGCTAGGATTTTTAAACTTTATTTTAATAGACACGCTCGTTATGTAAATACACACTTGAGCATTTAATTTTTAACGATTAACATAACATTTAATGAGTTATAAAGTGTCAAGTAAACCCGTAATGCAAAGAAGATAATAAACTTTCTCCTACTCATTATTTTTGAAATAATCAACTTAATTAAAAAAATAAATATATAAAATTGCCTTTTAAAAGCAAAAGTTTCATCCGAATAGAATAAAAATAAAATATTTTTACTTATATATTACACAGATGTTACATGGACGATTCTTTCCATTTCTATATAAGTGAATAACAGTACAAATTAAATAAGTTCCTTGTTTTGCTCAAAATATAATAAATAATAAATATTATATTTTTCAAATAAATAGAACTACACGAACAATTGTAATTAAACCGATAAGTATATAACTTTATTTTAAGCTAATAATTGTTTTCATTGAATCCTTAATAATAATAAAAATAACAACTATCTTGTAGAAATCAGGATATAAAATAATTGGATATCAATTATTAATTATCATTTACTAACAATTATGAAAACGGAAAAATAATATAATAAAAAAAGTATTTGGCGAATGATACATCAATATTTTTTTGGCAATTGACAATTGCCTATTAAAATTGTTAACTGTTATAATGTATTATATTTTTGTACAATTTATAATAATAGTTGCATTAGAATTCACAACATAACCTTATTGTAAAAGCAAATATCACAAACATATTTTCACGGAAAATATTTTATCTGAACTGTTACATATAATATATTAATTAGTTGAAATCGATTTTCAATAGTTGTCAGAGTTACTGTATTTGGTACAAAGAGAAAAATAAATAAAATATTACGAGGTTCTGTAATGTTTTGTGCGTATCAATGGACTGATTCATTGGTACTCGTGCTCTACGTCCCACCGTCCGGTCAAAGAAGCTTGTGAACACATTTCTTATAATCGACTTTGGTTCGTAAGAAATACAATATAATGCATTGTATTTCTTATTAAAATATGTTTAACTCGTTTTTCAAATTACAAAAAGTGGTCTCAATTTCACCAGTCTAGTAAAAGTTACTTTTTAAAATTATTCATTCAAATACAGATACAGACACCGATTTCCAAAAGTGTTAAAAAACGTATTTTAATATTTAATAAAAAAAAGTATTCAATTACAAATACAGATACTTCCAAAAGTATTCTTAGTATTATTATAGATACATTCATATCATTCAAATACTTAAAAAAGTTTCATAATGTTGCTAATAATCATAAAAAAAAAGGTATAAGAATTAACATCATGGTAATCGTAAACATAAAAACTTAGAGTTTTTAAAACGTTAATATTAAAAACTTATTTCTTATTTCATTTATAATCTAACTATATAAACATAAAACTACTTCCATTGAAATGTCTAATTTCAGAAACTATGCAAACGATTCATCTGCTTTTTTGTTTTGTAGACAATTTTCAATAGATGGGTTTTAACTTTTTATTTTTTCAATATCTTACATAATAAAATGACATACAAAAAGTTTTTGTGTACATCCAATATATTTGTGGACTTATTTGTATTTTATTTCATTCAAAATATCACTGTATATATGTATTTGATTATAATCACTGTTATATTTTGAAATAATGCATTAAGTCAAAACTTGAGAGCCGCTAAATAGAATAGCTATTATTCAAATTTCAAAATATAGAAAAAAATATACACATAGGCTATTTTTTTCTATTCTTTGGTTTTAAAGATAGGTTCACATAGAAATTTATATTTGGCCAATGGAAATTTCGAGTATTATTTTTGTTTGTATAGGGTTGCTATTGATTACAGAAAATATTTACGTTGGTTAAAGAATGTTTAAAGCTATTGATGTATATATATATATATATATATATATATATATACTCGTATAACATGAACCGTTTTGCAAGAAATCGGCAAGATATTATAGACAGGAATGAGGACGAAAATGGGGATAGGAATGGGCCGAGGACGAGTACGATTATGAGAAGGTGTATAATACAATATGGTGATAATACACAAATATTTTACATTGGGGTAATTCAGCTAGTATAAATATATATATATTTATCTATAACATTTTATTTCGTGAATGGGAGAAACTGGTACGGTCTCGTATTTTGAGAGCTTGAAATATATTAATCATTGAAAACCGACCGACAAAGAAGTTACAGAGATATGAATTTTAGATTTTTTAACATTCGTAATATATTCTTTCAAACAATATTCTTCTTTTTTAATTTTACAGGATGGGTCTAAACTCTAAATCCAACATAAAAATATGTTCTATACGTAGCGTGTTTTTGCATAGTTTTACGATAAAAACTATTAAACATGAGCTGATGACATCCTTTTAAATATAATAATTATCTATTAATACCGCACGTAATTTCATACAGTATTAAAAAATTAAATTTTTTGTTTTCGCAGACGTATTATCAGAATGCGTAGGTAATACAATAATGAAAATCCAAAGAAACTCATAATAAAAACTTCGTAGATACGTACTATGGCACTACAACGGAACTTGACATTGGCTCTATGCCTCGCTCTATATTTTACGATAGAAGTAAGTCGATAATCGATGTTGAATCAAAGATCTACTCGCTCGTTTCGAGTAGTGGAAATAATATGGAAATCTGTTTTTACTGTTTCAGTGGGCGCATGGATCCAAGTTAAGGAAACAGCGGGAGACGACAATCATGAAATTCATGAAGTTACTATTCTATCGGTTGATCTACGGTTTCGCCAAAATGATCGGCATGGGAGAAGTAGCCGAAGAGTTTGGAGACGGCGTGCTAGCACCTCCAGACAGCGATTACCGACAAGAGGACGCCGATGATGATTACTACGACGACAATAAAAATGACGATTACAATTATGATATATATTAATATAATATTGTCAAATTTATATTGTTAGCACTGTCAACGTTTGCTTTTGCAAAGGTGTAGTTAAACGTCAAAAGAAAGGGGAAGCGTAATTATGGCAAAAATTATTTTAATGTAAATCAAATCAAACTGTTACGATGTGCTAAAGGTAAATTCAACGAAATCGAAAACTCGTATTTAATAACACGAATATCTCGTGAAATGTTTAGTATTTCGTGTTTTAAGATAGGTATAATGAGTACTATTGATTGTATTCTGTACAAATTAATACTGTACAAAATTAATTTATAGTAATTAATAATAAAATTATTGATGCCATATTTTTCACTATTTCTTAAACGTCTCTAATAGTACTTAGATGCACGTAAAAACAAATTATTATAATTAAATATTAATTTTTTTAGCTACAACTAAGGTCATTCGCAGAAATCTGTTAAGTGAAGTAAAGAGATGTAAATGAGATTATTAAAATAAATAATTTCTACACTTAAATCAATTTTGTAGAATAATTTAAAACTTAAACTTTGAGTTGTTATTATACCAGTACACATTTTAAAATATAACCATTTACCCTAGTTTCTATTTAATTTTCCAGTTTTTCTGCGAACATATATTAATAACTTTGCACAGTGATTTTTTTGACGTGCACCAGTCAATAGAATATATTTTTTCATCTTATTTATGTGTATTTATTTTCAATCGATGTACATTGAAAATGAAAATATAATCAATCAAATACGACAACTACGAGTATAATATTGTAAACATAAATGTGTGTACAAACGAGTTGATTAGATTTTATAGTGACTAGGGATAGGCATGAAATCTGAATGACTAAATTATTCGGATATATCCGAATATTCAAATCCAGATTTGAATCAAATTCTTGTTCGGATTTTCCGAAGTATCCGGACTTATGAATTTGCTTTTGAAGTGAAACTTCTTTACTGAGGGTATGATAAAAATATTTAGTCACGTGACCGACTGATCAGAATTAAACGACTGAACGACATGCTAATAAGGCGCATGCGCGTCGTATATCCGCTACTCGTAACTACGCAACGGTCAGTATACTACCCCACCACTCTTTTCTTTTCTAAGCCCAACTTAGCGGGTATTGAAATTAGATACCCCGGACCCAGGGGGATCTGAGTTTTTATGGCCGCAGAGTTATTTCTCCCACAAAAGCCCCCCCTAATTTTGAGTTGTCCATAACTCAATGGTGTTACAATTTGATGACCCCGGACCAACTGGGAACCGTTCCGAAGGTGCGAGACTATAGGTTTCTACTTTAGGGAACGGGGCACCCCCTCCCCCTTTTTGGCTTTTTGCTTTTTTTTTTATATTTCAATCCAGGAGGTCACTAGAACCCACTCCGCCGCTGCAAAACGCGGGGTTTCGAATTCCCCCCTCCCTTGCTAACCTCAATGGAAGAGATCAATTGCCATTGGTGTTAAGTGGAGACTTTAATATAAATTTTGCTTCAAAATTTGAGTGGTTATCCCATAAGATTTTCTGAAGATAAGTTGAATTTATACTACAATGTAATATGATTAAATTTATGTAAATATAAAAATGAGTAATTGAAGAGCAAAATTGAATTGAATAATCCGGATAGTCCGGATAATCCTTGAAATCTGGATATGCCCATCCCTAATAGTGACACTATTTATAGCCTCATACACTACGCTTTAAATTTTCTAACCTCTATAGATATCATATTCGTTCATAAAAAAATGTTAAACAAATGTAAAATATTATATTATTTTATACATTATAATAATAATAAATGATAAGAGTTACTTATTGAAAATCAAAAATTAATTCTACATTAATGCGTTAAAAAAAAAATTGGTAGCATAGAGTTATATATACATATTCGGGTAACTTATCGCATATTAATCAGGAAAATTAATCTCAGTTGAATAAATGTTAAGATATATTGACTAATTCACGTTAAATGAATCACCATATATTATTTTGTAAATGAAAGTGATTTTAATAATTGTAGTTTTTAGGTATATTTTATCGCATAAAATAGCTAGATAGCTTAGATAGTTTCATAAATCATTAATTATTCATACAAATGTTTTATTGAATAATTTGTGGAGATTTAAAATTATAAAAAATGTATCTTTGATTTTTTTTCCACGCAAATCATTGCTTATTATAAATTATAACTAATTATAACTATATGTCTGTATGATTAAATTAGTTTATTTATTAGACATACATATATATTATATTTTAATAAAATTGTTTAAAGTGTAAAATCATTTTTTTTACCAAAATTAAATATATTTTTTTTCAACATGATTCATTGAATGAATTTAAGTTAGCATATAACAATGATACAACGATCATAGATATTTTTATTTCTGAATACTGTTATTTTGTTGTAGGATATCAGAACATGATGATAAAATAAACAAATCATCATAATTAAAAAAAATTAAAAACATAATTTCGATAGCGCTGTGATAGGCAATCATTTAATTACTTAAAACAAATAAAAGAATGTCGAAATATAATTCTTCGTTTTGTGGTATATATTATTATATATATATTATTTTTCTGGATTAGGTTAGGTTAGGTTAGGTTAACCTAACCTAACCTAACATCGCTGTGCAATTGTTTGATACGCGTTGTGTGACACGGTCTATAGTAATTGCAAGTTACTGTTGGAAAATATTCATTTTAAAATTTTAAAATTTAGAGATGAGTATAATATATTTGTAAATAATTTTAAAACTACATGCAAATTTTGAAATGTATAATTTATGTTTTTTCATAAATATCAACTGTTTGTAACCAAGTTCTTTGATAAGTTTGGCAGTGATAGGAGGCTGAAAGTAACAGGAGACCATATATTTTAATCCTTCAATCAGGGCATCAAAACGTTTTTATGGGCATGACCGTTTTCGACAAAAACAAAAATTTATATAATAAATTTAAAATAATAAAATAATGATGTACAATTTTTGTCAATAATTATTAAAATATTAATATAAAAGAGAACGCTGTTTTGTATTTAGTTTTAATCTCTTATCGTAAAGAAAATTGTTTGCATATTTTTTTCGAAAAATTGGAACTTTAATTTTAAAAATGTTAGGGCTTCGCCCCAAGGGGAATTATAGTATAAACTTAACCTAGTTTTTGTAAAAACCTTGATACTGTTGCAAATGGGATTATACTTTGTATGTGAATCTAAAACATCGCTACGCGAGTAAAACCCTGAATCGTCATTAATATATTATAGTAAATTCCATCATAATCAAACATTGTATATCATTATTTTATTATTTTAAATTTTTGTTTTGGTCGAAAACGGACTCCTCCTTTTTATAACTTAATGAGTATGACGTTAAACTATTCAAAAAAACGATTGAAATATAATAATTCAATTTAAAATAACCTGCAGGGACTTCGCCGCCACACCCCCTTCCCATGCATAAGTAAAACATATTACTATTAAAAATATAGATATGTTTAAATTGTATTAAAAAAACACTAAATAATGGATATTCAAAAATAATTAATATTTTATTTTAATGATAAATATCTATTTGTATCAACAAAGATATTCAAAATATCATCGCTTTTTATATTTTTCGATATATATCTTTTTCAATACATAGTATTGAAAGATCGCTGAAACCATCTTGAACCAACAATGTCCTTAGCCAAGTTTTTATTTTTTTCATTGCACTGAAACTTCTTTCACAAGTAGCCGAACTAATTGGTATTGTAAATGGTCTTTTATTATTTCTTATTTTACAATTTTCAAAAAAACGAACAGATAATTATAATAAAAACGAATAACGTTTCTGACATAGTTTCGATTTTTAGGGGGCTATTAAAATATTTGGAGGAGCTAAATCCCCCCCCCCCCCGATGACCGCCCACCCTTAAATTACTAGGTAATCTAAATAAAATAAATGTAAAAGGATGTTTAAAACAACAATAAATTTATCAACTAATAAAATATAAATAAGCATTACCAATTATAATTTATAAATATGCTTTCTGAAATTACGTCGGATATAGTCGACGCGGAACCCGTATGGCTTGCCTCATCAAAAATAATTTCGGTTTAACACCGATGAAACATTAGTAATACACCATAAATAAGCTATAAATAGATAATAAATATATATTTTACTTGGTACGTGGATTTTATTGTTGTACAACAAATATGATTGCTTCATTTGTAAGTTATTATTTATGAGTATTATTGATGACCCACACATTTATATTTTTCAGAAACAAAAAAAAAATTATATTCTAATTTATAAATTTATTTCTTGTTTTTTTCTATACAAAAAATAAAAATGTTATTTATATAAATAATTTTTTTTTTTTTTTGGGAAGCAAACTTTAAAAACCCTTTAATTATATCATCGGTATTAATTACCTCTAAAACATTACTCTCTGAACACAAAACCATAAAACTACATACTATTTTATACTTGTTTTTTATACAAGCTAAAAAATGGTTAAAAAACGAAAAAAACCTACTATCTACCAGGGGCCTACTATTGTTTGATATCCATTGTGGGCCCGGTTAGGTTTGGGCTAATCTACCCCCTCTTAATCCGGACTTGTATTATATTTAAAATATGTATTTTTATTTTACATAGGTAGTATTGATCACTAAATACTACATCTGAAAACGTTTCAAATTTTACACTAATTTAAATAACGTAAAACACTAAATTGTTCATAACATTTTAATTTTCAATAACGGTAAATGGAAAATTTTATAAACGTTTATATTTGTATAATATTTAAACGTTTAAATTATTTATAACGTTAAACGTTCGATTGCTTATAATATTTAAATATCCCATAACGGTAAACAATATATATTATTTTGATTTAAGCCCTTCCTTCAAAACTACTTTTACCAAAGCTAACAGAATAGTTTTTGGTATGTAGACAATCAATGTAATTATATTTAGTGATGTATTGGAGAGTATACGGTGTGTACCCAATACGCTATTTTAATCCATGGCGTATAACTATATAATGAGAAATTGATGATACACGGGTATACGGCCGTATCTATATTATAGTGTATAGCTTGAAATTTGACAAATATAAATAATACAACTTGCGGTTATATGTATAACGTGATTCGGTATCGGATATATTATTATTATTTTTTTAAAGAAAAATTCAAATTTGTTATCATTTAACATCAAGTTTTTGTTATCAAACAGTCATAATTAAGGATATGTAGTTCATGAGTGAATTTTTTTGATTCCTACCATATGATAGTTACTGCATGAAATAAAGCGTAGTATACTCATGATTTATTTTAGCAATACATCACTGATTATATTTAAACCATTAATCCCAATCATAATGATTACAATAAATTAATTATGTTATCTTACAATTTTATAAATAAATACAAAAATATTAAACTCACAATTCATTTACCAAATATTATCGTTGAAGAATATATTCGTTTACTTTTTTTCATTATATTTCTATAACTTTCCACATTTTTTTTTCCAATTTTGTGTTTGTTTTATTCCAATGAGGTATAATTATGTGTAAATATATATTATCGCACCTTCTGTGCTGTTTATTTGTTACATTTTAACTGATTTTGACTGATTCGTTTGTACATATAATTTATGTGACTGGTGCAGGGCCGGATTTAGGATTTGTAGGCCCCTAGGCTCAATTGTGGTGTGGGCCCTAATAGAAAGTTTTTAGAAAATAAAAAGGACATACACACGAATAGTGAAACTATTAACTAAGCCATCTCTAAAACATTTTCAAATAATTTTCTACCCGAAATCGAGGGTAATGCAACTTTTTAACTTCTAGTTTTTTGACCGAAAATAATAACATTTAAAATATAGTAGATATAAAAGTGTGGATTCAATTATCACATAGATAGTAGTTAAAAAGGTATTCAACGCTCTTTATTAATATTGCGACGGTAGTAATTAGTAATTAAATATCGAGCGATAATCTACCGACGACGCGGTGTATGGGAAATTCCCATTATATATGTACACACGTACACACTATATACTATATAGTATATTTTATTACACAACACCAATTTTAGAAAACTATAAATGAAAAATTTTTAGACGGAGCTTTTTTTTTTTAGTCGTACGATGGTGTGGTGAGGGCCCTGTTGTGGTGCGGGCCCATAGGCTACAGCCTATATAGCCTACGCTTAAATCAGGCCCTGGACTGGTGTTCGCATTTCTTGTTGTGCATGTCTTATAATTGAAACAGCTTTTTTTTATTTTTCCAAACAAATAATGCGATTATTATTAATATAAAGTTGAATATAATAAAAACTCGAAAACAGCACCACGCGTCATTATTTTTTAACTTTTTCACTGGTATAGTGAAATAACATTATGGTTTATACAAATAATTATTCTACTCACAACATACTAATTTTGGATGTAGTATTTTGGTACTTATTTGTTATCGCCCCGCCAGTACACCGTATAAAATTTATCGCCCCGCCACTCTTGTTTGTTATCGCCCCTCCATAAATAAAAAAAAAATTTCAATGTATAATATTATTTTATTTTACTTTAATAGTTTTAAATATATAAATGTATAGTATAAAATTTAAATTCAAAAATGTATAAAATATAAAATATGTAGAAAATATATTAAGAATCTATAGTTATAATGGAGGCCAGAATTCGGAAATATCTTTGAGGATAGTTTCAAATGCGTCTTGTTCTCCGAGACGTGTTCTCCACATAAACTCTGCCAAATATGATTCAAGAAAATTTCTGTTAGTTCCTCGACGCTTTTTATTGCCCCATTTAGCAGAACCCCACAATCTCTCAATATGTTGAGTGTGAGCCCCTGTGTCCGGATCGACAAAATTATACGTGTGGTTTACAGTATTATGTTTGAATCCCACTTGCTGCAAATTATTGTAAGCTTTCCAACAATCTGACAAAATTATTGAGCCTGGTCTTATATATCTTTGTATTATAGGTAACAATGTTTTCTCCGACCGATCTGGTACACTGATTATAAAACACGCTTTAGTTTCCCGACATATTCCACCAAAAATCCATTGTTGTGGCAGAATATGCCCAGCATTATTTTTTCTACGCACAAATAAACTTTCATCTATTTCAACAAAAAGACCGGGACCATCAATTTCTTTATTTTGATTAATTTCAAGCTTCCATACACATACCTCACGTAGATAATTACTCCAATCAACCACAGCATTTTGTCCCATATTTAGTTCACGTTTACAAAATGTTACTGAAGACATTTCTCGGGCTCAGTAGTATATAAAATGGACAATTGTATGTATTGGTAGTCTAGAACCAGTTAGCCAATTATTAATTCTTAATCCTTTTTCCTTTCGGCAACTTCTTTTCTGACATCGCCATCGCGATCCCTTGATAAACATTATATGGCCATTTTCACACACTTCACTAACTTTAATTAAATTATGTTGTTGTAAAAAGCTAATTCCAGTATCACTATTTGAAACAATTGTAAGTAATTCAGTAAAATTCATTTTAACGTATTAAATTAATTTTTTCGAATTTCTCAGTAGTAGGTAATAAGTAAATGAAATGGTAAACGAATGCCAGCAACAAACTAATATTCTGTATCATAAAAATGATAAAATGTAGTTTTCTCATTTTCTAAAATAGATCACAAACGATTAGCAATAGCGATAATTTTTATGCGATATACTGGAGGGGCGATAACAAACAAAAGTGGCGGGGCGATAAATTTTATACGGTGTACTGGCGAGGCGATAACAAACAAGTACCAGTATTTTTTTAAAAGAAAATTTAAAAGAGAAAAAAGTTCTATAAACAAATCTCGGGGAGGGGGGCGATCGCCCCTATCACCCTCCCTCTCAAATATGACACTGGATACGGCCCTCACAGTTGAGCCTAGGAGCCTACAAATCCTAAATCTAGCCCTTACGTTTCCTGGTTAAAAACGAGTTCGCGTCTCGGCACGCAGTGGAGTCGTAAACGATGATAATGTTATTAACTAGAACATATAAATTTAAATTAACTAAATTTAACTTAAGTTTCATTGGCTGATGACCGTGGATGACAACTTTGCTCTTATCTCGGAGAACGTTTCACCCGCCAAATCCGTTACTGATAGCAAAGCTGAATTAGTGATAACACGAGCACAACAGCATTTATCGTGATAACGGCGCGTTGTTTACCATTCAAACGTATTCTGGCGATCGCTATAGGTTCGCTAACAGCGTGCCATAACGTTTTTGTTTTTTTTGTTTTCCATTTTGTTTCAAACCAACAGTACTCCGCGATAAGTCTACAATCAATTATTGTAGACCCCGTTCGCGTGTATCTCTTTTTGTGACGGCTTCGGACTTACAATCGGATACGTAGAAGCTGAAACACTTTCGGCGGGCTTGGTGGAGAAAATCGTTGCTGTTGTACACACCCGACCGACTCGGTTGATACTGTTCAGTACTCGCCGTCAGTGTTCACGTTATGATGTTGTGCCCATCGTAGCTACCCGGCCAACGATATACGTACTATGGGAGACTTTGATGTGCTCAGCTATTGCCGTCAGTTACGCAGCCTGAAACCGCCGCCGTACAAATGTCCGGTGGCCGACTGCGACAAAGTGTATACGAGCATGACTGGCTTTCAGTATCATCTCGCCCACGTCCAACACACCAGTCCCATCCCACCATTGGATACGGGCACTACACCAGTCAGACAAATTCCTGCGATCACGCCAGTATCGAACAAAGCCAAGAGTATGGGATCAATAATAATGCCTTGCTTAATGATACTTTACAGTTTAATAATAATAATATGATTTAGGTAAAAAGAAGAAAGGAAGGCGAGTAACATTCACATCCTTCTCGAGAACATCCCAACCAGAAGTGGTAGAACCAGTGACCCCTGTGCATCTGTCTAAAACCTTATGTGAAGTTGAAGTGGCCGACAACAAAGTTGTACGGTTTAATGCTGAGGACCATTTACCAATGATATCAAAAGAAGAATATGTACGACAAAAAAAAAATATAATAACACCGCACAGAGTAAGCTTTTTTTTTATCAAATAATACTAATTGTCTGACTTATTATTATTTATTTTCTAGACAACTGCAATACTTTCCTCCTTATCAAAAAGTCAAGAAGCAGTGAAAAATTTACCTCATGCTGCATTTAAAGAAGTCGACAGTTATGATATACCTCATGCTCCATCTATGCCCAATTCATATATAAGGTATGATATTCAAATATATACTGTTCAGTCTTATAAAATTATATACATCAATTTAAACAAATTGTTTTCAGGTTTATTGAAAAATCTGCTGAAGAGTTAGATACTGAAGTAGAATATGATATGGACGAAGAAGACGCTGCTTGGCTACAGATCATGAACGAACGTAGAGAAGAAGCAGGCTTAGTAGGCATATCAATTGAGTCTTTTGAGCTACTAATGGATCGTTTAGAGAAAGAATCTTATTTTCTTGTTGTAAGTTATTTTCTTAATTTATCATTTCAAATTTGATTGAAAAAAAATTAAAAATTGTAATTTAATATTGCTATTATTTTTTTTTTACACTAGCAAATGAATAAAGAAGTTGATAGTAGTTTAGCAGTCATTGATGATGAAGCTGTTTGTTCTATATGTTTAGACGGTGAATGTCAAAATTCAAATGTAATTTTATTTTGTGATATGTGTAACCTTGCTGTCCATCAAGATTGTTATGGAGTTCCATATATACCCGAAGGACAATGGTTGTGTCGGTAAGTGTGAAACAGATTAATAATTTGTTTTATTCTATCAATGTTTATCAATAATTTATGTTATAAGCCGATGCCTACACTCACCGTCTTGTATGGTTGATTGTGTATTATGTCCAAATAATTGCGGAGCTTTCAAACAAACTGATCGTGGATTATGGGCTCATGTGGTATGTGCGTTGTGGATACCAGAAGTTAGATTTGCAAATACTGTAAGTTAACTTACCATTTATGAATGAAGTAATCAAAAGTTTTTGGTAATGTATACAAATATATGTATATGTATGTTGTATTTTAGGTATTTTTAGAACCAATCGATAGCATTGAAACAATTCCTACTGCCAGATGGAAGCTAACATGTTATATTTGTAAGCAACGTGGTGTAGGAGCCTGCATTCAATGTCATAAAACAAGTTGCTATGCAGCATTTCATGTTACATGTGCTCAACAGGCTGGCTTATATATGAAAATGGAAACTATATCTAATGATAATTCTACTATCGGTAATAAATTATACAATAAGTACTATTATTATTTGATTTTAAAAACCATTAAATATTTAGGTGATGCTGAACCGGGAACAGTCTTGGTTCAAAAAATTGCATTTTGTGATGCACATGCACCTGTTGATTATTTAGCAGAAAACCGGGGACGACAGTCACCAGGAGAAAAATTAAATAATGCTAGGAGGGTTTTAGCTAAAAAACGTTCTGCAGCACCAGTTATATCGATACCAACAATACCACCAGAAAGGTAATAAGCTTCTAGCATTGATGAAGTATATTTAATCAATTCTACTGTTTTAATTATATCATGTTTAAAAATTTTTTTCAATTTTTAGAGTTACAGAAATAGCAAACTTGTTATCTGTACCCAAAAAAGGTCAGTTTGTCCAACGTTTAATTGCTTATTGGACATTAAAACGACAATTTAGAAATGGAGTTCCTCTTTTGCGACGTTTACAAACCAGTCAAACTTCTAATGTATCTAGGCGAGATACAGAACCTAATGCATCAAGTGGAAATGAAGATGATCTTGTAAGTACTATGATTTGAAATTTTATAAATAATTATATATTATACATCACAGGATATGGTTTATTTTTATTACTAGTTTAACCATTGTATTTTTTCAAAAATTTTGAGTACTATCTTCTGTACAGTTATGTTTTAATTTATTAATGTTGATAGAAATCAATGATCCTATTCATTTATAGAATTATCTAAAATATGTTTAAATATTTTCTTAGAAATTTGAATTAATATTTTATTAAAAGTTTTTGTATACAAAATTTGTTATCATTGAGGAAATATCTTCACAATGATTTTTTAATTAAAGTCTAGTAATAATGATATTTATTGATGACTTTGTATTATATTTTCAGGTGTTAAAAATTGAAATCACAAATTGTATAAATTAAAAACTGAATAAATATATACAATGTATATATAATAATTGTTGAGCTATCATAGTTTATACTAGAAGCTATAAATAAAAAAAGACTGAACAAATGTAAAGAATTACCTGTTACAATCTATAATAATTTAAAAACTACAGTACAATATTATTAAATGTTAATTATAATCATTAAAAATTGTATGTATCTGAATGATAAAATAATAAATAAAAGTGATTTTGTAAGAACTATTAACTTGTCAATAATATAATAAATTTTCTTTTGTATTTTTAAATTATCATATTAAAAAAATTCATTAAAATTACTGATACCCTCTTGTATAAAATTGTTTACTTTTATTTGTTAGACTCGCATGAAACTTTTAACACAGTACGCTTAATTAATATTTTGTATACATTATTGGAATATTATGTATTATATAATACACGATTGCTTTAAGCAATTTGATGTTTGGATAGTATTATTGTAAGATGTTTCCTCAATATATGTTGAAACTAAAATAAAAAAAAACTGTTTAAAATCTAGAATAATTTTAATTAATGAATATTGTTTTCAAGATCTTATAATGATAAACGCTTTAATTACATTTCTAGATTGAACTTTATCGACAATTAAAATATTGGCAAGCCCTTCGCCAAGACTTGGAAAGAGTTCGTTTACTTTGTGAACTTATACGCAAAAGAGAACGTTTGAAAAAAGAGAACATCAAAGTGTAAGTATTTAAAATGTAATATTGTTTTTATTGACATATCTGATAATATAGCAATTGTATTATTAGACATGAACTATATACATTAAAGTCTTTGTGGCCATTCCATGCTTTCTTGCATTCAGTACTGCAACAATTAGTTGTAAAAGATACTGGTCAAATATTTATTGAACCAGTTGATCAGAATGAAGTTCCAGACTATGGAGATATCGTAAAACATCCAATGGATTTACAAACCATGGAAATCAAAATAAAAAATTCTGAATACAGTAGCCTTGAAGCATTTGAGAATGATTTCAACTTGATGGTTTCAAACTGTTTGGCCTATAATTCAAAAGAAACTATTTTTTATAAGGCTGGCATAAAAATGAGAGATCAAGTAAGTTTAATTAAATTAAGACAATGTTGTAAATATTTTTAAGTATATAATGTATAAAAATAATCTTGTTTAGGGTGGAACAGTTTTAAGAACTGCCAAACGAGATTTAAAGGTTTTGGATTTGGATCCTGTTTCGCTGACTTTAGCTGAAAAAAACGCTGAAACTAATGAAACTGCAGCTTTAAAAAATGAACACAAAGATGACAAGAGTACAGAATTTGATCGGGAATTGAAAGAGATATGTAATTCATCTAATACTATGGGTGATGATGAACGTATGTGTAAACTACTACAGTTAGCTGATAAGTGTCGTAGTGGCCGACAAAATAAAAGAGCCTCTTTAATTAAAACAGAATTATCCAAACTTAGGGCCAAAATTGATATGGAAGTGAAAAAATATGATGATGGTAAATTTTTAGTTATTTTTATATATGTTTAATAAATAATAATTTACATTATTATTTATAATTTGCAGATGAAGCAAATAGTGTTGATGAACCAGAAAAAATTGAAATTGAAAGAACAAGTTTGAAAAGAAACGTCAAAAAAAAAAATGAACAACCAAATGAAAATTTTGTTTTTAAAAAACCAGAGACTCCATCAAAATCAACATCTCCAGTCACGTAATACTTTTAAAATTATAGACATATTTTAACATACTTAACATTTAAATTTTAACTATCTCAAATTTCAAATGTAATAGAAAAAGTTTGGGTTATTCACATTTGATATAACAAGAATCTACTGTGCTACAATTACTATAAATATTTGTGAAATATAATAAACTATTTATTTATACAGTACACCTAAAAATTCTAACCGCAAGAAATCGTCAACGGATTCTTTGATCACGTCTCCTCTTATTAGACGTACAAGACAATCAACTAATCTTGAAAGTTTCAAGTCATATAGATCTAGTAAGTTATTTTTCTGAAACAGGTTAATATTTTACACTACTACTGATATGGTATATATTTTTGTTCACTGTTCAATTCATACAAATGTAAATTCTAAGATACAAAGTTCTTGGATGTCCTCAGTCTCTCTTACTTTAGATTTTACTTTCAATTATTCTATAAACAAGTTTATTTTCATGTCTCAATATGTGACCGATTGTTTCATCATCATTGATAGTTATACTAATTTATTAATCTGAAGAAAAAAAGATTCAAATTACAATTCTTACTTTAGAGCTTGAATATTTTTGGATAGACTGACCATGGCATGCTATTTTATCAAATTATAATTAATATGGAATCAGAATAATTGGTTCTAATTTTTTTTTTAAAAAAAAATTTAAATGTTCCCTTAATATTACTTATACATTTACATATGTGTACTATTTTAGATAAAAAAACTGATACAGAGGATGATTCTCCATCGGATGAAGAGTCGAGCTATTTAGATTCTGATTCTGGTTCAAACAGTAGTAGCAGTAGTGGAAGTGGATCATCTGATGGCAGTAGTTCATCAGGAAGTTCGTCGGATTCAGAATCTGAAAGGGAATCAAAAAGAAGGGGGAGAAAAGATGAGTTTGCACAATTACAATTGGTTTGGGCTAAATGTAGAGGCTATCCCTGGTATCCTGCATTGGTAAGAAAATTTAAATAATGTAAAACATTAAATATATTATTAACTTAATATTTTCCTAAGATAATTGACCCAAATATGCCACCGGGGCACTTACATAATGGTATACCTGTTCCTAGTCCTCCATCAGAAGTATTACACTTGGCAAGTAATTACAAAGAACTTGTGTACTTGGTGTTATTTTTTGACTCCAAACGCACATGGTAAGTTATAGCTTACTAAATTTTGAGTAACAGGTATGAAATATATATAAAATTTTTTTAGGCAATGGTTACCTCGTAATAAACTGGAGCCACTAGGTGTTACTCAAGAATTAGATGACATTAAGCTAACAGAATCAAAAAAACCCACAGATCGTAAATCTGTCCGTAAGGCATACATGGAAGCTCTTGTTTACAAAACTGATCCAATGATACCATCCTCTAATTTGAGACGTTCTAGTAGAACATAATATCATTGTTAATTAATAAAATATAAGATAGATATTCTTTTTAATTTATTGAATCTGCATTCTTTTTATGATTGTAGTCTCATTGATATTTTTTGTTATAATTTTTTATAATAGCTGATACTTAATTAGTTTTTATTGAATCAAACCCAAAATGCATTTTTATTTTTATTTTTTAATTAATTGACTAAAAATTGTAGACATTTATTTTAAATATTTTATCGTATTTATTTAATATATAAATATTAAAAACCAATCATACGATTAATGAAATTTAATTTTAGAAAACATTGACTAATCTCACTAAGTAAATGTCATTGTGATTTTTGAATTTAGATTTACTACTTATACTACCTATTCATTTTGCTCTGTCTATCATATTATATTCCTTATTTTTATTATTCTTATAGAGGCCATTACATTTTAAGGTAGTTTTTAAGATCTAAATAATAAGTTTAAAAATAATATTTAACATTTATTTGATTAAAATCGCTATTTTTTTTTTTTTTGTGATATTCTATTATTAATTTTCTGCAAGTATATTTAAATATTTAATAATGTTTAATATTTCTCTGTTTTGCAGATCTTAAGTCATATATTATAATATTATGAAAAATAGCTTTTGTTACAAAAACTAAAATTCACAGTCAATCATTCTGCTGTAAAGCATTACTTTTTCTTGATTATAAATAAACTTATTTAGTCTTAGTTGGAATTAGTTGCTCCAATCAAATCATTGTACAGTACCTTAGTTTATTGTTTTGTCTTAGAATACGTATCTGTATTGCTGAGTCTGTATTCTATGAATCATAAATCATGTTCTCATGTTAAGCTTGTATAGTGTGAGTTTTGTCTTTCTTGTATTCTTGATACATTTTAAAATTATTAAAATTATTTACTACATAATTATCTTTCTGTTCTTACATCTCTAAAAATTTTCTCGCTTACTAATAAATAGTTCATGCCATTTTGGGTTTCCTTAGTAAGTTACTTAGAGGACAAATAAATTCCATCTATTTTTCTTTCCCTGTGTTAATTTTAAGGTTTATTATTTTTATGATATTTTTTGTTTCTTTTTCTCTGCCAGTTGGCACAAACTATGCATTGTTGTACAAGACTTAATTTTTAAAATTTCACTTTATTTTATTGCGTGAAAGAATAATATATTAAGAATAATTAGAAATAAGACTATCAAGCTAAAAAGTTAACATTTCTTAAAACTATCTTATAACTCTGCTATATTAACAATTTTTTAATTATATAAAATTACAATTAAAACAATAGATTATCAAAAATTAAACTAATAATTGTAAAAATGCTTCTGTGAAATGTTGATAAATTAGTAATTTGGAGTTCTTTTTGAAGAGTTTTTGAACTAAGGATATCTTGTGAAATTATTTTTATTTATTGCCCTGGAAACAGACAGACGCAATAGTAGTGTTTTATTGTTAGTATCGTCAGTTACAAGATCCTTGCCTTATACTTATAAATAGAAAATCTTTCTTTCTTAATAATTATCACAGATTATTCAACTGCTGTGTGAAATTGAGTCTACCAAAAGCATTTCCTCATTCAAATCTACTGCTATGCTACTTTTAAGATATCTTTGAAATAGTAGACATAAAAATGTTCATCAATATTATACTGAATATTTAGTAAAACTAGTAAAAGCAAATAACAATGTTATAAAAATGTAAGCCAATCATTAAATTTAAGATAATAAATAGTATTTATACTTTTATAACTATACAATTTGGACTAATTTTCCAGAAATTATTTAATTACTATAAATTATCACATAAATTAGAAATGTTCCAGGTATGAATTGATTATAAACAAAACTTATGGTCATTAAATTTTAACAATTTGAAATTGAGTGAATCAATTTAAAAGATTTATCTAATTTCTTAACAAATTTGAAATAATATTAACTTATATTGGATTACAATAAACTTTCTGACTTCAAAAACATTTTTGAGAATAAAGTTAAATCTAGAATATTATGATATTATGTAGATATACTATGCAATTAGTTTTTAGTAAAAACTTAAGAAATTGAATGTAAACATTTTAAATATCAAATAATAATTAAGAGTTGAGTCCTAAGAGTTAGGATATTGATGACTTGCATTTTTTTCCTTTGATTCTAAACAATGCTATTCTAGCTAAAAATTTGTTTCGTGTTCCCTTGATGCAGAATATTCTAATTTTATTTTGCATTTTTAGGCAGTATTAGCTTTAAATGTATTTTTTTGTTTTTTAACGTCATTTTTCAACCTATTTAAGTTATTTTTTTCATCTTTTAGATCATTTTTTGTAGTTTTTGTACAATGTGGATTATATTTCTCAAATTTTACTTAATTAGTTTTTTATATCATTTTTAAGGATAGTTTTTTAAGTTTCTAGGACATTTTTGCTATTTTGTGTGTTTTTTAAGTCATCAACATCCTAACTTTAGTCATGACATTATTAATTAATTATATAAATCATTTAATGTACTTAATTCCTACGATGGAATAAAACAACTATATAACTTCTTCAAGTAATTTTATATAAGCTTCTAAACTTTTTGTAAACAGAGTTTGGTGTTTTCTACAAAGAACTGTAAGATAAAGAATCTGAGAAAAATACATTATTAGTTAAAATTGATCAATAAAAATTTGTTGGACATCAAAATTTAGGTAAATTTGTTTTTAAATTGTTCATTATTTGAAAAAAAGCATCGGTCACATTAAATTAAATTTTTATTATCACACTTTAAAATTTTTATTATTGATGGAGTTTTATTTAAGAAAAACAAACTGTTGACCTACAAATTTTATATTTTAAAATTCATGAAGATTTTCTTAGTTTTGTTGTTCAAGGAGTTGTAACTAGAGGAGAAAATATAAACATGAATTTTCTTGAATCTTCTAGCATTGACTATAGGTAGATAATTTATAATATACTATAAATAAATAAAATAAATGTATAATTATTTAGATAAAGGTATGGTGACAAAAAAAATAAACCATCAGTTTCTAGATTATTTTCATAAATGAAAAAAAAAATTTAATTAATATCTAACCAAATTTTATTTATTATTATAATTTTTATACAAATTTAGTTACAAAATATTTTAAAATAAATGTTTTCAAAATACAAGAAATATTTAATCCTCTCCTCCTTTGCCATCATCAATTTCACTGCAAGTAACCCACTGCCCAATTTTATTCTCTTTCCATAACGATACTTTATTAGTTTCAGCAGATACTGCTAGTACATTTCCAATTTTTGACCAGCTTACAGTCCAAACTCGACTATCAAACAAATGCATTCGCATAGAGGTCCATACAGAATAGTCATCACTGTGTGATACAACAACGGTTTTGTCTTCAGAACAACTGGCAATTAACTGTCGATTATCACCAATTGTGCAAGTCCATGCCACATCTCGAACCCAATCTGTGTGACAATTGATTTCACCAATTTGTACCCATTGATCACCTTCAGCAGTCCATATTTTTACCAAGTTATCACAACCACCACTTGCCAATACCAATTTTTTACCAAATTCTGTTTGATCTGGTCCAAATAATTGTTCTTTATACGGTGCCCATGCTACAGTATTACAACCATTATGGTGGGCACTAAATGATTTAGATGACCATTCTTTGTTGAAAACATGTATTCCGATTGATCCATCTGAGCTAGCACTGGCTAAAATTGTTCCGTGTTGATGGGGTGCCCATGCAACAGCATTAACTGAAGATTCATGAGTGAATTCGAATATATTAAACCAATCATTTGATTCTTTCCATACTACAACACGTTTGTCGTATGAACAAGAAGCTAGCAAATGTCCTGATACTGGATGAGACCAACATATTTGCCACACTGGTCCATGATGACCTTTAATGTCGGCTAATAAGGTTTTATTTCCATTGTGTATGCTATATATCTTGATAGTTTTGTCACTAGAACAAGTAGCTAAACGTTGGCCATAGTAATCTAATTCAGCATCATGGACTTCACCTTCATGTTCATTTAAAATCAAACCAGACATCGGAACAATTTTCATGGTAAATTTCTTAACTGAAAATATATGAGTATCTGAAACAATATTAAATGTTAATTACATTAAATTTTCATAAAATGTAACATTATGTTTGTTACAATACATTTTGACACTTTTAAAAATTTTTAAGAATTGTGGAAACACACCTAAAAACGATTCATACAACATAAATTCGGAAACGAAATAATAATTTATTACGCTACTATTATATTAATGAAATGTTATCAATACTGCAGTCTTGGGGATGGCGATATTAACAACGCGGATTACGTTAAATTATATATTTCGTCATATTAACAACGACCTGAAGCGAAACAAGTGACAAGATTACCTTAATAAATACGAACGATTTGTCGAGGTACTGTGGCGATTCGACGAATCCGACTGCACGCGTGGACGTGCGATTTGATTAAGAAACTTTTATTGGGCTTGTGCTGGTGCAGTGAAAACTTTTGCAACCGAATCGCTTACAACTCACGTCATACAGGTGATAAACATTCAGGTACGTTTGAGATAAAAAAAATTTGTCAACGCGTCGGCATTGTTATCGTTAGAACTTTTTTTTCCTTCATATGATAACGGCAATGTCAACGCTCGACTGTTATCAGTACTACGGTCGTGACCAATCGAAACGAATGATGTGCACATTGCAAGTCGGATCTCAAAAAATTTGTCGACGCGAACGTGTGCACCGAAACTCGCGGTGATTTGTACGGAAGTTAACACGTACGGTATTGGGCCGGTAAACTCATCTTTCGGTCTGCATCGATCGTTCCGCCGGATATCTGCTCGTCGAGTACAACAAGTGAGTTTCGGACGAGCACATGTGCGCTCAATACGTGTGGGTGTCGTGATTCGGACAAATATTTGCCGACTGCTGTTCGTGCAATAATCATATTTCGCCGTATTGGACAGGTACCCGTCATGGCTTCTACGAAACGAACACAACCGGCTTGGTCCAGTGGCGACGTGGCCGAGACGTGTCGTTTGAAGCTGTTCAACAGCTTGACGAGGAAAAAAGAGGTGTTCGTGCCAAAAAACGGTAATAAAGTGAACTGGTACAGCTGCGGGCCTACCGTGTACGATGCTTCACACATGGGACATGCTCGGTAAGAAAAAATATTCTTACTGCTGTCATAGCATTCGTTTTTACCATTCGTGTTTCGTAGGAGTTACATTACGTTCGATATACTGCGCCGTGTGATGAAGGATTATTTCCATTACGATGTCGAGTATGTTATGAATATCACTGATATTGATGACAAAATAATCAGAAGAGCTCGACAACTGCATTTGTTTGAGGAGTATGTTAAAAATGCTACTGATTGTAAAGCAGTGCAAAAAGATGTTCTTCTAGCCCTAGATGACCTTAAAAAGGATTTTGAACAAGTGGATCCCGAGAAAAAAGCAATGACATTAAAAGCTATAGAGAAATTAACCTTAGTGTCTCAGTTAGTAGTAAATTCAACAGTGAATAACTTACAAGTATGTATAAATTAATCGCTTACAATTTTTTAAGACTGATATTAAATTTAATTTTTAGTCTATCTTAAATGAAATCAAAGATCCATTTGGTGCTTATTTGGATAAATTCAATACTGAAGATATTTTTGATAATAACATATTTGAATCTTTACCTAGATTTTGGGAATCGGATTTCCATTCCAATATGGCCTCTTTAAATGTTGAGTATTAAGTTATTTTATGTTATTTTTTATTTTGTATTAATGTTAAGTATTCAATAATGTACTTAATATTTTCATTACAGATTTTACCTCCTGATAAGCTTTCTAGGGTAAGTGAATATATTCCTGATATTATTGCTTATATAGAAACAATAATCAAAAATGGTTATGCTTATGAATCCAATGGTTCAGTGTATTTTGATGTGGTTGCATTTGATTCGAAGCCTATTCATCACTATGCCAAGTTAGTCCCTGAAGCATATGGAGATACAAAATCACTGCAAGATGGAGAAGGTAATCAGTCAGTAATTTATTTTACTTCAATAAGCATATTATGGAATACCTATTTATTTATTATTATGACAAATGTTAAAAATCAATTTCATAATTATTTACATTATATTTTTAAAAATATTGACGAATGTAAAATTGTTTTTTCTATCCTATAGTGGGTCTTTTTTAAGGTTTTGCTTTATTAAATATATAGCAATATTTAATAATTAACAATTTTTTATTTTTTTATGTTTCTGATAAATGGAAGTTATATCATACTTAAGTTATATCATTGTAGTATGTATTTGAAACAGGAATGTGGTTAATTTTTATGTTATAAGAAGGAAGTATTTCGTATATGGAGCCCAAGGAGATTTTACTGTATATATTAATACTCATATCTTATAACACTAAAAATATAACAAAAAAAAATTAAATAATAAAAAACAGCAAAAAATTAATGCTGTTCATATATCTTATTGGTATAACATAACATAAACATCATTATAACTTTATAAGGTAATATATTTAATACATACCATCACATAAATCTATTGAAACTTACAGTTTTAACATCATAGCTATTACTATAAATATACCAATGGTACCACTTATCAGTTACTTAAAAGCTTACTTTACTAACTAGTAGCATATAAGGCTAAAAATGTATTTATACATGCGATTTTTAATAAAATTTAATTTAACTATAGGTGACTTATCAGGAAGCACAGTTAATGAAAAACGTTCACCTAATGATTTTGCACTCTGGAAAAAGTCTAAAAAAGGTGAACCTTGGTGGGAATCTGTTTGGGGAAAAGGAAGACCTGGCTGGCATATTGAATGTTCCGTTATGGCTTCCAGTATATTAGGTCAAACATTAGATATTCACACTGGTGGAATTGATCTAAAATTTCCTCACCATGATAATGAAATTGCTCAAGCCGAAGTAATTTATTTCATTATAATACATATTCTTTTCTATAATTTCATTGCTGATAGTATTGTTTATTTTAAATAGGCCTACTACAACAATGAAGAATGGGTTCGGTACTTTTTACATTCTGGTCATTTAACAATTTCTGGATGTAAAATGTCTAAGTCACTGAAAAATTTTATCACTATTGGAGATGCACTCAAAAACCATTCATCAAGACAGCTAAGAATTGCATTTTTATTACATTCTTGGAAAGACACTTTAGATTATGGTGAAAGTACTATGGAATCAGCAATGGCTTGTGAAAAAATTCTCAATGTTAGTCTGATATAACTTATTATTATTATTATTATTGTTATAATTATTTTATGAAACCACTGATTTCTTTAGGAATTTTTTTTAAATGTAAAAAATGTTACTAGAAGAGTTAATGTTCAGGCGTTAACTGTAGGTTATTCTAAATGGTTACCTTCTGAAGTGGAATTAAGCAAGAAGTTTAATATATGTAAAGAAAACATTCATGCGGCATTGTGTGGTAAGTTGTTAATTAAAAAATGAAAAGTAAATAATTATTAGTTTAATTGCTAATAATTGTTATAGATAATATTGATACAAAAACAGTATTAGAAGTAATTAGAGAATGTATATCCTCCTGTAATATATATTTAAGAGATTGCGATTCTTCTACTGTAAATCATCTCCTATTGCTAAACATAGCAAAATACATCACAGGAATATTAAAAATATTTGGCATACAAACGGCTGATGAAATTGGATTCCCTATTGGTGATGGAAATTCTTCAAATAATGTAAGAAATACATTCAATGTATTTCTACTAATTATATTTAAACTATATTTAAAAAAATATCAACATTATTAATTAATACTTCTTTTAGGTTGAAACTATTGTGACTCCATACCTGAACATTTTATCGGATTTCCGTGATTCGGTTCGTTCTATTGCTCGTTCAGCTGGTTCTACAGATATTTTAATTTTGTGTGACAAACTTCGAGACGAAATACTTCCTGATAGTGGTGTACGCCTAGAAGACTTTGATGGTAAACCAACTGCAATAAAATTTGTGGGGCGTGAAGCCATCATGAATGAAAGAAAAGCCAAAGCAAAAGCTGAAGTAGATAAACTTGCTGAAAAAGAAAGAAAGAAAAAAGAGCTTGAAATAGCTCGTGCAAAAAAAGAAGAGTTGAAAAAAATACATCCTAAAGATTTATTTAAGCTGGAAACGGATAAATACTCAGAATTTGATGAAAATGTAATATATATATATATATATATATATATTATAACCAGGTTTGGGTGATACCAAATATTTTTATTTCAATATTTAATTTGATAATTAATATTCATTACCTTATTACATTTATATACATATTTACTTTAAATTTCCTAATGCTAAGAAACAAATGTTGTCTTTGTATTATTCAAAGTTACTTTTTGATATTATATATTTATATGTTGGACAATATCATGTTTATTGCTGGTTATTATGATAATTTATCATTATAATATAATAATATTTGATGACACTGAGTTCTTTAAGGCATTAATATTAAGTATATTAAAAATTAATGAAATTGATTCAAATCATTTTTGATTCTATTACTTAATGCCAGAAAAGTAATAAGAAAAAATTATATAGGGTATCACCCACTACTATTATTCATATTAATAAGCTTTAACTATTTATTATATTGTTTTATTTATTTTTCATGTATAATAGGGGATACCAGTGGTTGATAACCAAGGCAACAAAATAAGTAAAGGATTGACAAAAAAGTTACAAAAAATCCAATCTGCTCATGCAGCACTACATAAAGAGTATTTAGAAAGTATTGAAAAAATTTAATTTATAAATATAATCATTTTGATTTAATGTTGTGTTCTGTTTTTATATATCACCTCAAGTTTTAAAATTATTTAAATTTAATCTATTCGTTAATATTTTATATTTAATATGTTTAAAAAGTTGATTTTTACATATTATTTCTTGGTTTTATACATTTTGGAAACTTAAACTGAAAATTCAGTCTTCATTTATATCTTGCTTTTGGTGGTATTATCATTAATGTAATAACATCAAGAGAGCCATAGAATTTTATAGCTAATGTTTATTATAAAAATAAAATAATTTGTATGAAATAAATTATAAATAAAAATAAATTTAAATCATAAATTATTAAATAATTAATACTCATAAATTTATATATGAACAAATAGTTTATATATAGAAATAAATTAAACCTGAGCCTGAAGTGTTGTATTTGTAAAGTATGACCAGTTTCAAATTAATAATTCATCGCCAGTTATATACTAAGTCAATAAAATTGCAACTGAATATGAAAAAATAAAATTTAATTTGTTATGAAAAATTATGTTTCTATAATTTTCAATGCTGTATTTATATATTAAGACTATTCATACAACACCAACCAATCGAACATACTCAGTTATCTTAGATAATTGTTAGTTTCCAGTGTCCATTAAAAACATTATTATTCCCTAAAATTAAAAATCAAGAAAAAAATTAGTTTGTTCACTAATAAATTTTAAGCCTACATTTTATTTGGTTTTATTATACTTATTATTAATTTTTTTTTCTTTTTAAATTTTTTATTTAATAGGTTTTTAGTCAAATTTCTAGTAACCAGAAATGAACTGACCCAGTGGTATACTGTCCTAGAAGACAGTGGGTTTCTGGGTTTTGGGCCAGTGCCTTGTTAGTGGCACATAAATATAGTAATGTGACATTATAAAACTATATAAGACAGCCATCATTTGGAGCATAATCTTGAAGTTGTGTCAACGTCTTGAATATTATTTTAATTCAGTTGTGGTCTTAAATTATAGTTAACTATAGTCGAGTGCCTCGTAGTAGGTATGTGCCGCACACACCCATTCCCGATGTTTAGCCGTATTAAATTGACCTGTTTCTTCAACGGTCATCTACGTGTCAACAAAAAAAAACTCTGCTGAAATACAAGTACAAATTTATTTTGCTGTATTACAATATGTAGCAAACAATCCAAAACAGTTAATACTAGGTTTCCCATTTATATCAAAAAATATTTTAATACAATTGGTAAATATTATTAATTATACCTATTTTTATTTTTATTAAAATTATTTATTTTATGCATTTTACAAGTCGTAGTGAATTTATAATTGTTGAAATCTGTGAGACTGTGCAATTTCATTGTGGTTTTTCATTGTGAATTTGAAAAAAATAGCATTTTCTGCAGGTGTTTGGTGAGGATAAGGAACTAAGATTAAGTTAGGTTTATGAGTAAAATATTTAAATTACAAATTAAGCTGTTTAAATTCTATTTCATATTGTGCTACCACAAAAAAAAAGTATTATACAATCGGCTATCGAGAAATCATAATAGCAAGGTTATTGATGTTTAAAAGTTGAACGGAACGTTACAAAACGTTTCATATTATTATGATATTGATATTATTGTTATCAATTATAATACGAATAATATTCATATTTCATATCAATCAGCCGTTTCGCGTGTTCAAGATAAACCATTTTTTTCCTACGTCGAATTTGTAAAAATCTATAAAAATGTTGGGGGGGGAGGGTTACAACCCTCAAACCCCAATCTTAGTTGCGCTACTGATTAAGGGGTTCGGAAGCGTTTCATTTCTAAGGAGTATGCAATAGGCAATTTGTTTAACGCTCGAAATCGCGTACTGATGTGTGAAAAGTAAACGAAAATAATATGTTAAGAGTATATTGTTTAGCACAACGTCACTGATGCTCGAATGTTAATGCGCGTTATTCGTTGAATACAAAAATAGGTTTTATACAGTTAGTTTTATTTAACGACAAAATAACAGTAGTCATTAAGACGGAATGAGTAAAGTATGCGCTTATAAACACTGTGAGTCAACAGAATGCAAAATTATTGTGTAAAAAATAAAAGTTATATCGACGCTATTAATTGATAAATAATTAGTAATAATAACCGTCATATTTTTTATAGAAATTAAAAAATTGTTTGAGAAAACGTTCACAACATGTTTGAGATGTATTCAATATAACTGATTTTTCCATCAGTGTTAAATTATTGAAGGGCTACGATAATAGTCAATATTTTATAAACTGTTTAGCAAAGCAGTTTTTAATTTACTGAACGCAAAAAACATAGAGATTAATTACGAAATAATAAAAAAAAAATTACTGTGGTAGTACAAATCATTTTTGTTGAAATTAATAAAAATAAATTAAATTTACTTTTTATATCAAAGAACAAGATGATATAATTATCAGATTATATTTCTTTTTATGAAAATGATCCTTTTTCCTCGTAGCCCTTCAATTTTGAAATAATCTAATTTCGTTAAAATTGCCTATACTAGTCCCTTAAAATGTGTTGCTAATAGCAACATGCTATAATACTAATATTTCAAAACGGTACATACATATTGAATATTGATTACCGTTTATAAGTAGTAAACAATAATTAAATTACTTAATATTTTCATTAGATTTAAAAAATACTGTTCATTTACTAAGTCTTTAAATGGTTATTCCACGTAAAGTCAAATAATTTAACTATTTTCTAAAAAAGTAACAATGTAAAGGATATTTGTACAAATTATTAAGATGATAGAATGACTTCGATTAATTTTAGTTTGCTTTACTAGTAGTTTCTATATTTTGTAGTGGAAATCTTTGGTGAATTTAATTAAAATTGATAATATTTTAATTATCAATTGATTAGTGTGTAAAGCAAACACATTTTTTCAAAATAATTCGCAACTGGTAATCTAGTAAACAGTTATTTTTGTTATAAAAATATTTTTGAAAATGAAACAAGAATTAATGGAACTATAGACTTAATACCGACTCATGTTTACACATATAAACTTATGTATAGTGTTATATACAGTGGCGAAGCTACTTAAGAGGCATTGTATACTTCGTTTTTGATTGTATGTTATTGTATATTGTAAATAAATACAATAGAATTTTACATTTAAATTTTCAGAACCTTATAATTAAATTATAATTATTATTCCTCTATAATCATAAAAATATACATTTACGATATAATATATTACATCGAAAATACGAGTATATAAACAGTGATGTATACGTTTTTCAATTTTTTTTTTTTTTTTTAGGAGGGGCGAGTGTAAATTGTTCTTAATATTAAATGATTTTATAATATTACAAAAAATACATATAAGGTATGAATTATTATCTTAATAAATAATATTATTCTATTATTATTATAAAAACAAACAAGGAGTTATTTACAAGATAGAATAAAGCGATATTTACACGATATAAATTAATGTACTCTTTTTTTGTACCTTTGTGGCAAGTAATTTATGACTTTTTAACTTTTTTTTTTCTGTAGGTGTCGAGACTTTTACTAACGAAATTACAATATTTTCGCTGAAACAAAAAATAAAAAAATGAATTTAATATACAGTGTGATATGAGTAATAAATACGTTTGCAATTATTATAATGCATCAATAAAAATAGTGTTTATTTATACCTAATCTATTATCATCCAATTTAATTATTTTAAATGTTGTCTCCCCTAATCTAGAACCCAATATTTGTCACTGATTATATATCGTTCTACAAACGTTTGAATTATGGCAATTGTGTATCCGACTATAGTGTTAACCTTATTTTATTTCTTATTTTTTATGCCCATAATTATAATATAAGGATGTATAGTATTATTATAAACATAGATCAGCTAAACTTTTGCAATTTATTTTTCTAGTTTCATGCCAAATGTCTTTAAAATAATTTGCATAAATTAACATAATATATATTTATTCTATATTCACGCCCAAATCTTCTTACAAATAATTCATTAAAATAAACTACGCAATTCATGAATTAGGCTGTATAAGTGTCTTATCCAAAATTCAAAAGTTGTAATATTTATGTTCTAAATATTACCTAACTCCGAAGAAAGAAATCTGTATCGATCCACCATAAAAATATAATCTGTATATAAAATTCGTTAGACATAAAATTAAATAGATTGTAAAACGTGAAAACTACGAGTAAAAAATTTTTTTTTTCAATTTATAAACAATGAAATAATTGAAATTTACTATGATTATGAAAAAATGTATAAAAAATATAACTATCGTGTTGAAAGTGTAACTGTATTTACTAGTTAATAGTAAACCCAATTGTTTTTCTCATTTTCAGTGTGGGATATAAAGGTAAATGGTTATTTCGTGTTTGCACATACGTTGAAATTTTAGAATACAGGTGAGTGAACTGAAAAAATATATCGCACAAAACAGCAAAAATTAAAATAATTTACAATAATTTTACATTATAATTTCGGCATTATCAATTATCATGAGAATAGAAAAGCAGATCAATGCACGACAAAAACTACGGAAACATTATCTACTGCGGTCCTCTGATATAATTATACTTCGACTAGAATTATGATGATATTTTAATAAAAAGTTTTAACGGAAGTTTTGTCTAAATTTGCATTTACTTCCGTATCCCGCTAATTAATGTTAAAAAATAAAAACGATGTACGAAATTGTCTTTAGTTATAAACTATTATGTAGGACAAACAATAAGATGTAATTTAGTTAATGAGTAGCACATTAATTTATTATGCATTTAATTATTATATACAATTTTTCGTACGACTTTGTAAACACAAATTCTTATAAAGACGACAGACATTTTTCTCATCTAAATAATAGTATTTTTAAAAGTAATTTCTTAAACTGAAATATATACGAGTGTGGGTTTCGTTGTAAATTAAAATATTTTAATCATTATATTAACTTCATAACATTATTCAAGTAATTCATGGCAAAATATACTCCGGAAGGAAGAAATACAATACAGAGGTGCCAAGGT